TACCTATATCAAACAGACGATATTTCGGTCGGCATCAGTTGCAGTGTACGATTTAGTAAAAGTGTGCAATTTTTGCGGCTAATTTGCCACGGCGCTCCTGGTCATGTAAGTATATTAATATGTTTTTGTTACGAATTGGGCTGTGTTTATATATGTCGTTATAGCTAAATATTTTTTTATAAATTTTTTCATTTTTTGTTCCAGGTCGAAAAAAATTTTGAGTCCGGGCGATTTAGAAAAGTCGTTGCAACAGGTGGTGAGAGAATTAGAAGAAGAGGGGTCGACAATAGAAAATCAACGTGAAGAATATTGTGACATAATTGATGATGAATTTTACAGTGATTCAGACCAGGAGCCAGAAATTATTGAAAGGAACGATTATAGCAGTGATTCTGAACTATCAGCAGATGAAGGAGAAGCAGAATTTGAACCACGCGAACAAGAAGAAGATTACCAATTTTTTATTGGAAAAGACAATAAGACTCTTTGGATTAGTCAGCCTAGTTCTTCAGGTGAAATGCAAGCCAAAAACATTATAAAAATTTTACCCGGTCCAAAAGGAAATGCTAAACGAGCGAAAACCGAAATCGATGCATTTAATTTGTACATTACTGACGAAATGGTTGACGATATCGTGGCAAATACCAATATCTATATTGAAAACAATAAATCTTCTAAAATGTATTCGAGAGAAAGAGACTCCAAAAACACCACCAAATCTGAAATCAAAGCACTCCTAGGTGCATTAATTTTAATTGGCATCAAAAAAGGTAGTCATACAAATTGTTTGGAGCTCTGGGATTCAGATGGAACTGGACTCATTCTTTTACGTGCACTCTACAGTTACAAACGTTTTCTTTTCTTGATGCGCTCTCTGAGGTTTGACAACATATTTACTCGAGATGAAAGGAAGTTGCAGGATAAACTTGCTCCGATACGTGATTTTCATCAAAAATTTGTTACCAATTGCTTTGCTTATTATAACCTAAGTGAATTTGGTACCATCGATGAAATGCTTCACGGTTTTCGAGGTCGATGCTCATTTGTCCAGTACATTCCTAATAAGCCGGCAAAATATGGAATAAAAATGTGTGGACTCTGTGACGCAAAAACATTTTATACACTTAATTTCGAAATTTACTGCGGTAAGCAACCAGCAGGACGATATGCTACCTCTAACAAACCAGATGACATTGTGAAAAGATTGATTGTACCTATAGAGAATACAAAAAGAAATATCACCACTGATAACTATTATAGCAGCTTGTCACTTGCTGAGTATCTGTTGCAAAAAGGTATAACATTTTTGGGAACGATGAAGAAAAATAAGAGAGAAATACCAGTCGAATTTTTGCCCAACAAAACTAGATCTGTCAACTCTCATATTTTTGGATTCCAAGAACATTTCTGTCTTACTTCTTCCGTTCCAAAAAAAAAACAAGGCAGTTATATTTCTCTCAACAATGCACAATGCCTCAGATGTGGACCAAGATTTACGGAAGTCGTTGGTGAATTTTGACTACAATTCTACAAAAGGGGGTGTTGATACAGTGGACCAGATGTGTGCTTCATACAGTGTATCCAGAATTACAAGAAGATGGCCCCTCGTTGTATTTTTTAGACATCTCGAGATAGCTGGAATAAATGCCCGTGTAATATTTAAATTTAACAATTTGGACAACAAAGATGAAAGACGTGTGTTTTTGAGAAAACTGGCCCTTGAACTAATGAAAGATCACTTGAAAGAGAGGGCTCTGACACAATCGCTCCCTAAGGACATTTCTTACTTTTTAGACAAATATAGAAATGAAGAAGGGACTGAAAGAGGTGAAGAAGTGAAGACTGGCATTTGTTTCATTTGTGGTACTCACAAAAACAATAGAACCAAGCAAAAGTGTAATAAGTGTGCAAGAAATATTTGTAAAAAGCATAGTTCCACACATATTACATGCACAAAATGTAAAGAAGAGGAAATGGAAGTAGAATAAAATGCTAATCTGCATAATTATACAATAAAACGTTGTTTTATTTTTGTTTAAATAATAAGATTTTTTTATGATTCTTTCATTTTGTTAACATTTTTTTATGTTTATTTCATTTTGTTAACATTTTTGTTTAAAAAACATTTTTTATTTGCATTTTTTCAACTTTTATTTGCTGAATTACATTTAATTCTGGTTACTGATTTTAGTTTCTCTTATTAAATACATTTCCAAGTTGTAAATGACGTCTTTTTTTCAAAAAAACAGCGCCTGGTCATGAGAGGGTTAATGCCTCATGAGAGAGTCATGAGAGGGCCTGGAGGGTTAATCTAATTTCAAATTTAGAAGGAAATATTAATTAACATCGGCTAAAGTTTTGTTAATGGACAGGGACCCAAATACAACAATACCCTATTTTTGTATTTGGGTCCTTGGTCCGTTTTGTATTGTATACGATTTGATAAGTGTGGTGAGGTTCAAGGCAATCATTTTGAGCGCTTACGTAGTTAAAAAGTAACTTAAAACAGTTTTTTTTACATATTTTTACACAGATTTTAGACAGATTTCACCAAACAAACCGGCAAGTCATGAGCGACAGAAAAATTAAATCTTGTCGTATACAGTGCCATCTATTGTGAATCAAAAAAATATTTTACACAAATTTTACGTGTGTTTAGCCGTAGACCCTGAATCTGTAATAAAAAGTGAGGGGTGCCATTTAAAAAATTAAAGTTACCCCTGTTCCACCCTACAATGAGGGGCAGCAGAACACTAATTTTGCCATCAGTGTATTTTCCCCGCGGAATAATACAACTTTGATACTACACATTTTTTGTAGTGCTTCCTATTAGAGATATTGAGATGTATCAAATTAGATGTTACACCCGGCATGTTAAATAGGCATGAGTATGAAAAAAAAATAAGACAGCTCTAACAAAGCATACTATCGAAACAGGATACACTTTCAATTACACAGAAACTCAAGTCTTAAAATCGGAATGCAATACAAAGAAGCGGGAAATTTACGAAACAATTGATATATTCAAAAATGTAAACAGCAATAACTTTAAAACAGACACTAAGCATTTAAGAATTATTTACAGTCGCATTCTGAGTTAATTAAATTTTATTTATATATTTACCATAAAAAAATACCATAAAGTAAAATAAGTTTACTTTTTCTGGTTGTTTCCAGACAGAATCAAACATTCACCTTTGCAAATAGTTTAGTCGACATTATTTCTAAGCATGGAACGACCAGAACTGTTATTTTAAAACCGGTTTTAAATTCGACAAAATTTTGACGTGTGACCAAAAAAATTACTTTGTGTACCGTGACAAGTGTTTTGGACTGTTTTTGTGCAAAAAAAATGTTTTTTTGCAAAAACTATGAATGCTACAAGATTCTATAATGGGCAAAAAATTGTAAATTAATGATTAGTGCATAATTAGAGTTTCACTAAAATACATCGTACCATAGTTATATGGCCATTTCCAATGATGCTATGTTAAACTAGAACAACTTTGTCAAGTCAGCATCTATTTTCCTATTTATACGGCAAGGTTTGCGTATGCAAATTAGTCATTAAGATCACTTGCTTGGTGCATGTTCCATGTAATTTCGTTGGTAAAATAAAGTTTTTAAAAAGCGAAGTTGCATTATTAAGAACAAAATTGGCGCAGTCGGTAGGATCCTTTCGGAGTGCGAATTAAAATTCAGATTTAGTGAAAGTTCGTGAGTGCGAAGTTGAAGAAGTCGGAGATTTCTACAAATTTTCCGCTTCAATTAGAAGAAATCGATAATAGTAATATAAGAAGTAGTTTAGAAAATAATTTAGAAGTAAGAAGTACCACCCCTATTGACAATATGAGTGATGCTTTAAGATCAACTGTCACACTTCTAAAAACTTTTGATGGAAACCCACTGAGATTGGAATCTTTTGTAAATCAAATTAATACCTTTCATACACGTTACTTTAATGCTGACCCATCACAGCAAGAATATGTAACTTTAGCAATAAAATCTAAAATATTCGGTGCTGCTGAACATTTTCTTTTAACTCGCCCAGATCTTCAAACTTAGGACGAACTTAAAAATGCACTCCAACAAAAGTTGAGTGACCCCATAACTAGAGCTAACTTGCAGCAACAAAGCACTTTCAAAAATAGCTATTTACAGAACCATAATAAACCAATTAATAAACCCACTAATCAAGCCGTTGCAAGCACTCAAAAGCTTTTCAACTCTTTCAACCCTCAAAGCTCTTTTA